TTACGACTGGAAGTTTCAGTTTAGGAATCCAATAGAGCGATTTACTTAAACCATGAATGATAAAATTTGAAAGCTGGGGTGGAAAATAACCCCAAAATCCAACTCGGAAAACAATCAGTAAATTTGAGTGTATCGAACATAACCATTTCAAATTATATAACGAGTGGGGAAAATGCGATTAATGGTTTCTATTTGAATGGAAGAACTGGGGAGAAAAAAATTGCAAACGAATGGAGGTCTTCATTAATCATGTTCCACAGCCATGAAAATGATACATTTTAGTATCCTATCGTCACTTTTGATGAAAAATGGATTGTACATCAATATAATAGCTGGAAAACACGTGCAATATGGCTGAACATAGAAAACTATGCTAACACATCCTAGAAGTTTATACTAGGGCTCTGATGGAATAGGAGTAGGAGGGGGTTTTCATTGGATGAACAATTACTACTCACACTGCAAGAGATCCTATGAATAAATTATGGAATCGTCTGGTCTGGTGTTTCCGCTATATATTTAAACATCCTTCATAAAATACAAAGAAAAATCTGCAATGTTAGTAGTCTTGACCTAGTATCTTGGTTTCAGACACGTTCCCACTGTCGTAAGGAAGCTTCCTTGTACCTTCTCTATAAATATTTTCATGGTAATTTTCTGGCGAGCTTTCCTTTTGTTTAGTTTCTTGTATACAAGTTGTATTTATTGTAAATAATTACTGGGTTTTCATTTTTAAATGTTGTTCTTTTATTCCCCCTCACACACACGCACACACACAAATTTTACATATGGGAACTATTTAGGAGCACGTAGAGACTTTGAGGTATTATGGTGACTGTAGTAAGAATGGTAAGTCAGAATGTATTGTTTTGGTGTAAGGAATACTGTGGTATGTTTGGGTTAGTAATCAATAATTTAAAGATAAGACAGATTGAAGACCAGCCTTTCCCTATCCCCCGCTTTTAGCCCTGTGCCACATTGTTGTATCACACAAAATAATTTTTTTGTACTTCCACGAACATTGTAACGAACCACCTTCATTCCCTTCGTGAGGTGCAAGTTCCACTCGATCAACTTCTTCCAACTAAATACAGCCTTGTGGAACCGACTACCAAAAGATTGCTTCCCTGACAGCTACAATCTTAACCAGGTGTTATGGTGTCCTCCCTCTAATGAGTCGATTGTGGACTCTTCCACTTACTATAAAATTAATAGGAAAATAAGCCAACGGGGGAACAGTGATATAGACTGAAAGCTGGTCAACCGACACACACTCCCGAAACACTTTTCTGTTGTATTTACTGTTCCCCCGAGGCTTACATCTTACTTATTATAAAACACAGGTTGTGTGTGTGTGTATCTGTGTCTGTACGTTTATATATGGGATCGGATTTCCTACATTTTTCAACCGATTTCAACAAAACTTCACAGGACTACGTAAAATTACCTTGCGGTCGTTCGGATAGCGTCAAAAATTGGAAAAACACATTTGTTTTTGCATGAACTCAATTTGAAAACACGATTAAGAGGCATCGCTTTCGCGGAATGGAAGGGGGACAACTCATATCGAGTTATACTTATAAAACCCAGGTTGTGTGTGTGTGTGTGTGTGTGTGTGTGTGTGTGTGTGTGTGTGTGTGTGTGTGTGTGTTCATTTATATATGGGATCGGATTTCCTACATTTTTCAACCGATTTCAACCAAACTTCACTTTTTTTGGCAGGTAGTGTTTCTTATTGTCTTGCACACTTTTTTCTTTATTTTTACATTCAGAATGCTTTACAAATTCCATTTACAAGACAATTGTTTATAATAAAATTCTATTCAATCGGTAAACTCATAACGATTGAAAACAATGTTTTTGTTTGAGTTTGGGTTTGACCAATTCGTAAAAAAAAAAAAAAAACTAATTAAGCCATGCGTGTCCGTCAACCTTAAACAATAATCTTTGTTAATTTTATTTTTCTGTCTTTATGATGGTCGATACTTGATCTATCTCTTACTGTTACATCCCCGGGCAACGCCGGGCTCTACTGCTAGTTCCTACTAATTTTATAGTAAGTGGAAGAGTCTACAATAGAATCATCAGAGGAAGGACACCACAACACCAGGTTCAGTCTAGGGTTAACCGTTATCTTCCACACATATTCGCATAAGCTGTGCCTCTTACTCTGTAACACTCTACCTTGTGTGATCCTCGTGCCATGTACAGGGTGAATATCACTGTAAATAAAGCAGAACAAAAAAAAAAAAGCTATTTACACAATTTACATTGTTCGGACTGCTGTCCTCATCTCTATTGTCATATTAACGACGTTTCCACCGTTGTACGCAACGGCTTTCTTCAGGTGGTATACAGTCGGAACAATGTATATAGTGTAAATAGTTACATCTTAGAAATATAGACAGATATGAAAAAAAAACTCAACTTTACGAATTTAAGCGACAAGGCCACATAATTTTACAGTTGAAACGTATAGATGAAACCTTAAATTCTAATTAATTTTCTAGAGTTTATTCTCTCGCTTCTCGAACTCTCTTGTGGCTCCGTGATTTCCAGTCCACCTTGATGAAAATGCAAATATAAATTGTCGTCTTCTGTCTTTTAAATCCATGTCTTTTTCTTTTTTTTTATCGCCCTCTCCTTTTTCTCATATTATTTCACAGTCAGCAACACTTTGTGTCTTCTTGCCTCATTTCGGGTGAAATGTTTTTTTTAAAAAATCGTTACTGCATGTACTTCCGGTTTATTTGCTACAATTTTATTCCAGTTGGGAAATTACCCAATATTCCGCTTTGCTGTCGTCTATTTTATTAACGGTCCATTCAAAACTTTAGTTGCTGTAATTTTTGAGACAAAATAAACAAGCCCAAGATAATCAATAATTGATCATTTTACAGTACAATATTCTGATACACCCTGCGATATTTTATAGGGTACCAAACAATATTTTGAATTCTCAGTTAAATTTGTCATTCTTTCTTTAATTCATCAACTATCTATCTATCTATCTATCTATCTATCTAATTACTTCCCTTCGTATTTTTCCCTCTGTCTATCTGTTTACCTATATATATATATATATATATATATATATATAATTCTTTTCAGTATCAGTCCACATTTCTCTCTCTCTCTCTCTCTCTCTCTCTGTATATATATATATATATATATATATATAATTTTTTTTCAGTATCAGTCCACATTTCTCTCTCTCTCTCT